GACCAAGGGAGGAGGTGTAGATGGAGAAGAGTAGGGGCCCAAGGATGGAACCTTGAGGGACCCCTACAGAAAGAGGGAGTGAAGAGGAGGAGCCAAAGTAACGCTGAAGGAGCGCTGCGATAGGTAGGAGGAGAACCAGGAGAGAGCAGTGTCTTGGAGGCCAAGAGAGTGGAGTTTTTTGAGGAGGAGGGGATGGTCAACCGTATTAAAAGCCGCAGAGAGGTCGAGTAGTAAGAGTATGGAGTAGCGGCCATTGGTTTTAGCAGTTAGTAGATCATTAGTGAGTTTTAATAGGGCAGTTTCAGTGGAGTGTAGTGAGCGAAAGCCAGACTGTAAAGGGTCAAGAAGGTTGTTGTCAGTGAGGTAGGAGCTCAGGCGATTGTAGACTAGGCGTTCTAAGAGTTTAGAGGTAAACGGGAGCAGGGAGATGGGTCTTAAGTTGTTCAGGTTGGTGGGGTCCAGGGAGGGCTTTTTAAGTATGGGAGTGATGTGTGCATGCTTTAGAGGGGAGGGGAAGGCACCGTTAGAGAGGGAGAGATTGAAGATGTGAGTGAGGGAGCATAGGACAGAAGAAGAGGGTGACTGTAGTAGCTGTGAGGGGACAGGATCCAGGGGGCAGGTAGTGAAACGGGCTTCTGAGAAAACCTTAGTGACCTCTTCAGGAGTAGGAAGAGGAAAGTGTTGAGGGGGATTAGTATAAGGTATGCTAAGTGGGATGGATGTCTGTGCAGTGGCGATGCCCCTACGAATTGCATCAATCTTGCTTTTGAAATCTCGTGAGCAGTGAGTGAGGTGCTGGGTGAAGGTGGAGAAAGTAGAGAGTTAAAAGTAGAGAAGAGATGACGAGGACTGGATAATAAGCTATTGATGAGAGTGACAAAGTAGGCTTGTTTAGCAGCATGGATGGAAGAATTGTATGTTAAGGAAGCAGATTTATATAAGGTGAATGCTTGGTGAGATTTGGTTTTATGCCACTATTGCTCCAGCGCACGACTATGTCGTTTAAGATTTCTGGTGTCGTCAGTCTGCCAAGGTTGTAATGGCCGGGGCCTGATGCTTCATGTTGTTAGAGGAGCAAGTGAGTCTAGTGTGGATAAAGCAAACTGTTGTAGACAGTAGTGGCCAGTGAGGGGCAGAACAGGGGAGAAATTCTGTCATAGATTTGGTCAGTTGCAGAGTAGAAAGGAGCAGGGTTCAAGTTGTGAAGGTTTCTGCAGGTAATTGTTTGCTGCTGGGAGGGATAAGTGTTTGAAGATGAGGGCACTGTGAAGGTGATAAGATTGTGATCAGAGAGAGGAAAGGGGGTGTTTGTGAGGTTGTAGGGAGTGCAAAGACGGGAGAAGACAAGGTCTAATGTATTCCCATCAGAGTGAGTGGAGAACTGTATACATTGTGCTAATGTTAAAGATGAGGTTACGTTGAAGAGTTGGGATGTAGCCGGGTTGTTGACATTAATGGGGATGTTAAAATCTCCAAGAATGTTAGTGGGTAGTTCAGAGGAGAGAAAGTAGGGTAGCCAGGCGAGAAAATCATCTAGAAAGCGTGACACCGGTCCAGGAGGCCGATAGATCATTGCAATCCTCAGAGAAATGGGAGAAAACAGCCGAATGCAGCAAGTCTCTAAAGAAGAGAAGCATAGAGAGGGAGGGTTAGGGAGGACTTGAAAAGTGCTCAGTGGGGATAGAAGCAAACCAACCCCTCCTCCTTTCCGACCACTGGGTCTGGGTGAGTGGGTCCAGAGAAGGCCTCCATAGGAAAGTGCTGTGGGAGAAGAAGAATCTGCTGCTTGAAGCCAGGTTTCTGTAATTGCTAGTAGGTTAAGGGAGCGGGAGACAAAAATGTCATGGACAGAGGTGAACTTATTGCAGACAGAGAGGGCATTCCAGAGTGCACATGAAAAAGGGAGGCTGGTTTTTGGGAGCATGGGGATTGATATTAAATTGAGGGGATTGCGGCTATTCCTGGAGGAAAGAGGGTGGCTGGTGTGGAGTTGAGATACTGGAGGACCAGGGTTTGGGGCGATATCCCCAGAGGTTAGGAGAAGAAGAAGGGTGAGGAAAGTAACAAGGGAGCGGGATGTACATGAGTGTAAATGCCTTCCAGTCCTGTTGTTTGGGACAGCAGGTGAGTGAAGTATCAGCAGGAGGTGATGAGAGCAGTAGTAGGGAGATGGTAGCAGTGAGGGTGAGATGTGTAATCTTTGGGGTGGAGCAGAGGGGTAAGGAAAGGAGATTTTGGTAACGCAGGATAGTAATACGAAAAGGAGGAGTAGAGATGGCATATTTAAAGATAGGTGGAGTGGGAATCAGACTTGTAGGAGATGTTTCCCAGGGTGTTTGCTTGCAGTCCATCCAGTGTGCAGTAGAGTTCTTTGCGTTATCTTCCTGCTGCTTGAGTTATCCTGCTTTAGTTCAACTGCTGTGTTCAACTGCTGCTGATTCGCACTCCTGCAAAAACTTCACTCATGCACAAAACTGCACTCCATCTGTGACTGTGCCCCCTATCTGTGACCTCCCCCCATGAGCTGATCTAAATTTATAGGGAGATGGTCAAATGAGCAACTCTTCTCCGCCCCAATTAAGAACTGATAAGGATCACATGAATTGGGGGGATGTTTCTCAAACACAGACCAGAGTAATAAAAGAAGTGCAGCAAGAGGTGAGAATCTATCAACAAACAGACAAAAATATATACACTTTTTGTTCAGAGATAGAAGTCTATGTGTTGTTGAACTTACAGTTTAGAGTGGAGGTGAGAGCAGCATTTTACCTGTGAAAAAGTAGAGAAGCCAGGATTAGGGTGCTGTGTTCAACTGCTGCTTCGCACTCCACTTCTGAATGCAGGAGTTTTGGTGCGCTTTCAGAAAGCACACCACACCTGCAGCATATAATAGAAGTCTATGGCAAAATGCAGCTTACCCAGGAAAGTGGCATATGCACTATGCCACACCTGCGATGCAGGTAAACCCCAGCACATCAGTGTGAAAGCAGCCTTAAAGGGGGCTCAGAACAGTGAGTGTACATTTTCAGTCTGGGGGGTGGTAAAACCAGATAGTTAAGATGTGTTTTTACTTCCCCTGCCCCAAACCGCACACCCTTTAGCTTCAGTGGCCAGTGGTGTAAACATGTCGCAGCTGCGCAAGGGTTATATGCTTTGTCATGGTTGGAACATGTTGCACCTGCCAACCATGCCCCATTAAAGTGAATGAGGCCACTCTGCAAGTGCCCTGCAAGCTTGTGCAGTACAGCAAACTAGAGGTTAAAGCAGGCAGCATTATGTTGCTTTCTTACTACCTGCTTTAACCCTTTGGACCCCGAAGAAGCATGCAGTAGCAGGGCATTTGCAGAGTGGCTCCATTTACTTGAATAGGTCATGATTGGCAGGTAGTAGCACCCACCAAAAGCAACAGTGGGTTTAATTCCTTCTGCGGCATGTGTACAACTTTGGCTGATGCCTGAGCAGCTAAAGAGGGTAGGGCTTTGGGGCAGTAAAACCCCGACTCAACAGCAGGGTTTTACTCCCTTCCCCCAAGGAGATTCCATTGCTGAATGCAACTAAGGGCTCATTCACAAGTGCAGCAGAAATTTAAACCCATGATTGCCATGCAATGCACGTGATTTCGGCATAGTACAGTAATTAGAGGTTTAAATCAGGTGTGAGGAGGTGACACTGTGCCCGGTGATATTTGACTACTCCAATGTTGTTCAGGTAGCTCTCCACCTCTTTAGGATTGCCTACCACTGTGTTAGATCATCTTCTTTCCAATTCAAAATCTTTAATTTTAGAGAACTGCCCACCCTTTTGGTAACTTGGTTGCTTTGTGACTTTAGCAAACTTTCTTTGTTACTACAGCGCAAAGCCAAAAGAAAAGTAAAAAATACCGTAAAGCTTCCTAGTGCCACATCCTAAAACGTGTGGTAGTGAGGTTTGCTGCTTTGGAATGTATTAAGGAAAATCCTAGAGAAGGTGACTTTGACAAATACATCTTGCGGTGAGAAGCACGCTGGATATACCTCCTTAAGGCTACCACTTTTCCTGGTCTAAAAGAAACTTTGAGATATAAACCCTTTTTATAACTAGAGATGAGCGAATTATTCAAAAATTCGATTCGGCTGATTCGGCGAATTCGCGGAATAAATTCGATTCGAGTCGAATATATTCGCTGCGAATTTAACTTATAAAAAGGGTGTTTCTAGGCTTCAGAGAGCCTTTATATTAGTGCAGAACACTGTACCTTTAATTTAAATGCCCTTGGAGTCTGCTGGGGAAGAGAAATAATACTGTCAGTCAGTATGACATGCAGATGAGTGCCGTCGATCTTAGAATCACCGCACACTTCACTCATTTGGGCAGTCACGGGGCCAAAACCAGAGTGTGGAGCCACAGTGTGGCAGTGGAGGCAGCAGCAATGGGAGGCCATACAGCACCCTATGAAAAAATGGAACCCACCAGCAGTGTGAGGAGACCTGAAAGTGGCACATGGCAGAGTGTGGCGATGGAGACAGCAGCAATGGGAGGCCGTACAGGGACCCATGACACACTCTGGACCTGGCAGCAGCATGAGGAGGCGGTACAGGGGCCCATGACAGATTACGGGCCTGGCAGCAGCATGAGGAGTCGGTACGGGGGCCCATGACAGATTACGGGCCTGGCAGCAGCATGAGGAGTCGGTACGGGGGCCCATGGCAGATTACGGGCCTGGCAGCAGCAATGGGAGGCCATACAGCACCCTATGACAAAATGAAACTCACCAGCAGTGTGAGGAGACCTGAAAGTGGCACATGGCAGAGTGTGGCGATGGAGACAGCAGCAATGGGAGGCCGTACAGGGACCCATGACACACTCTGGACCTGGCAGCAGCATGAGGAGGCGGTACAGGGGCCCATGACAGATTACGGGCCTGGCAGCAGCATGAGGAGTCGGTACGGGGGCCCATGGCAAATTACGGGCCTGGCAGCAGCAATGGGAGGCTGTACAGGGACCCATGACACACTCTGGACCTGGCAGCAGCATGAGGAGGCGGTACAGGGGCCCATGACAGATTACGGGCCTGGCAGCAGCATGAGGAGTCGGTACGGGGGCCCATGGCAGATTACGGGCCTGGCAGCAGCAATGGGAGGCCCGTAATCTGCCAGCACCCTATGACAAAATGGAACCCGCCAGCAGTGTGAGGAGACCAGAAAGTGGCACATGGCAGAGTGTGGCGATGGAGACAGCAGCAATGGGAGGCCGTACAGGGACCCATGACACACTCTGGACCTGGCAGCAGCATGAGGAGGCGGTACAGGGGCCCATGACAGATTACGGGCCTGGCAGCAGCATGAGGAGTCGGTACGGGGGCCCATGGCAGATTACGGGCCTGGCAGCAGCAATGGGAGGCCATACAGCACCCTATGACAAAATGAAACCCACCAGCAGTGTGAGGAGACCCTGAAAGTGGCACATGGCAGAGTGTGGGCGATGGAGACAGCAGCAATGGGAGGCCGTACAGGGACCCATGACACACTCTGGACCTGGCAGCAGCATGAGGAGGCGGTACAGGGGCCCATGACAGATTACGGGCCTGGCAGCAGCATGAGGAGTCGGTACGGGGGCCCATGGCAGATTACGGGCCTGGCAGCAGCAATGGGAGGCCGTACAGGGACCCATGACACACTCTGGACCTGGCAGCAGCATGAGGAGGCGGTACAGGGGCCCATGACAGATTACGGGCCTGGCAGCAGCATGAGGAGTCGGTACGGGGGCCCATGGCAGATTACGGGCCTGGCAGCAGCAATGGGAGGCCGTACAGGGACCCATGACACACATCTGGACCTGGCAGCAGCATGAGGAGGCGGTACAGGGGCCCATGACAGATTACGGGCCTGGCAGCAGCATGAGGAGTCGGTACGGGGGCCCATGGCAGATTACGGGCCTGGCAGCAGCAATGGGAGGCCCGTAATCTGCCAGCACCCTATGACAAAATGGAACCCACCAGCAGTGTGAGGAGACCTGAAAGTGGCACATGGCAGAGTGTGGCGATGGAGACTGCAGCAATGGGAGGCCGTACAGGGACCCATGACACACACTGGGACCTGGCAGCAGCATGAGGAGCGGTACACAGGGGCCCATGACAGATTACAGGCCTGGCAGCAGCATGAGGAGTCGGTACGGGGGCCCATGGCAGATTACGGGCCTGGCAGCAGCAATGGGAGGCCATACAGCACCCTATGACAAAATGGAACCCACCAGCAGTGTGAAGAGACCTGAAAGTGGCACATGGCAGAGTGTGGCGATGGAGACAGCAGCAATGGGGAGGCCGTACAGGCACCCATGACACACTCTGGACCTGGCAGCAGCATGAGGAGGCGGTACAGGGGCCCATGACAGATTACGGGCCTGGCAGCAGCATGAGGAGTCGGTACGGGGGCCCATGGCAGATTACGGGCCTGGCAGCAGCAATGGGAGGCCCGTAATCTGCCAGCACCCTATGACAAAATGGAACCCACCAGCAGTGTGAGGAGACTTGAAAGTGGCACATGGCAGAGTGTGGCGATGGAGACAGCAGCAATGGGAGGCCGTACAGGGACCCATGACACACTCTGGACCTGGCAGCAGCATGAGGAGGCGGTACAGGGGCCCATGACAGATTACGGGCCTGGCAGCAGCATGAGGAGTCGGTACGGGGGCCCATGGCAGATTACGGGCCTGGCAGCAGCAATGGGAGCACCCTATGACAATGGGAGGCCAGCACAGCACCCTATGACAAAATGGAACCCACCAGCAGTGTGAGGAGACCTGAAAGTGGCACATGGCAGAGTGTGGCGATGGAGACAGCAGCAATGGGAGGCCGTACAGGGACCCATGAGACACTCTGGACCTGGCAGCAGCATGAGGAGGCGGGTACAGGGGCCCATGACAGATGATTACGGGCCTGGCAGCAGCATGAGGAGTCGGTACGGGGGCCCATGGCAGATTACGGGCCTGGCAGCAGCAGCAATGGGAGGCCCGTAATCTGCCAGCACCCTATGACAAAATGGAACCCACCAGCAGTGTGAGGAGACCTGAAAGTGGCACATGGCAGAGTGTGGCGATGGAGACAGCAGCAATGGGAGGCCGTACAGGGACCCATGACACACTCTGGACCTGGCAGCAGCAGCATGGAGGAGGCGGTACAGGGGGGCCCCCATGACAGATTACGGGCCTGGCAGCAGCATGGGAGGCCCTAAAATCTGGGCACCCATGGCAGATTACGGGCCTGGCAGCAGCAATGGGAGGCCGTACAGGGACCCATGACACACTCTGGACCTGGCAGCAGCATGAGGAGGCGGTACAGGGGCCCATGACAGATTACGGGCCTGGCAGCAGCATGAGGAGTCGGTACGGGGGCCCATGGCAGATTACGGGCCTGGCAGCAGCAATGGGAGGCCCGTAATCTGCCAGCACCCTATGACAAAATGGAACCCACCAGCAGTGTGAGGAGACCTGAAAGTGGCACATGGCAGAGTGTGGCGATGGAGACAGCAGCAATGGGAGGCCGTACAGGGACCCATGACACACTCTGGACCTGGCAGCAGCATGAGGAGGCGGTACAGGGGCCCATGACAGATTACGGGCCTGGCAGCAGCATGAGGAGTCGGTACGGGGGCCCATGGCAGATTACGGGCCTGGCAGCAGCAATGGGAGGCCCGTAATCTGCCAGCACCCTATGACAAAATGGAACCCACCCAGCAGTGTGAGGAGACCTGAAAGTGGCACATGGCAGAGTGTGGCGATGGAGACAGCAGCAATGGGAGGCCGTACAGGGACCCATGACACACTCTGGACCTGGCAGCAGCATGAGGAGGCGGTACAGGGGGCCCATGACAGATTACGGGCCTGGCAGCAGCATGAGGAGTCGGTACGGGGGCCCATGGCAGATTACGGGCCTGGCAGCAGCAATGGGAGGCCCGTAATCTGCCAGCACCCTATGACAAAATGGAACCCACCAGCAGTGTGAGGAGACCTGAAAGTGGCACATGGCAGAGTGTGGCGATGGAGACAGCAGCAATGGGAGGCCGTACAGGGACCCATGACACACTCTGGACCTGGCAGCAGCATGAGGAGGCGGTACAGGGGCCCATGGCAGATTACGGGCCTGGCAGCAGCAGCAATGGAGGCCCGTAATTACGGCCCTGGCACCCTATGACAAAATACAACCCATGACAAAATGGAAGCAGCAGTGTGAGGAGGCCATGAAAGTGGCACATGGGAGAGTACAGTGGCGATGGAGACAGCAGCAATGGGAGGCCGTACAGGGACCCATGACACACTCTGGACCTGGCAGCAGCATGAGGAGGCGGTACAGGGGCCCATGACAGATTACGGGCCTGGCAGCAGCAATGGGAGGAGTCCCACCCTACGGGGGCCCTATGGCAAATTACGGGCCTGGCAGCAGCAATGGGAGCCGTACAGGGACCCATGACACACTCTGGGACCTGGCAGCAGCATGGCGAGGAGGCGGTACAGGGGCCCATGACAGATTACGGGCCTGGCAGCAGCATGAGGAGTCGGTACGGGGGCCCATGGCAGATTACGGGCCTGGCAGCAGCAATGGGAGGCCCGTAATCTGCCAGCACCCTATGACAAAATGGAACCCACAGCAGCAGTGTGAGACCCTGAAAGTGGCACATGGCAGAGTGTGGCGATGGAGACAGCAGCAATGGAGAGGCCGTACAGGGACCCATGACACACTCTGGACCTGGCAGCAGCATGAGGAGGCGGTACAGGGGCCCATGACAGATTACGGGGGCCCTGGCAGCAGCATGAGGAGTCGGTACGGGGGCCCATGGGCAGATTACGGGCCTGGCAGCAGCAATGGGAGGCCGTAATCTGCCAGCAGCACCCTATGACAAAATGGAACCCACCAGCAGTGTGAGGAGACCTGAAAGTGGCACATGGCAGAGTGTGGCGATGGAGACAGCAGCAATGGGAGGCCGTACAGGGACCCATGACACACTCTGGACCTGGCAGCAGCATGAGGAGGCGGTACAGGGGCCCATGACAGATTACGGGCCTGGCAGCAGCATGATGAGGAGTCGGTACGGGGGCCACCCCTATGGCAGATTACGGGCCTGGCAGCAGCAATGGGAGGAGACCTGTACAGGGACCCATGGCACAGTGTGGCGACTCTGACCTAGCAGCAAATGGGAGGCGGTACAGGGACCAGCATGACAGATTACTCTGGACCTGGCAGCAGCATGAGGAGGCGGTACGGGGGCCCATGGCAGATTACGGGCCTGGCAGCAGCAATGGGAGGCCCGTAATCTGCCAGCACCCTATGACAAAATGGAACCCACCAGCAGTGGAGAGACCTGAAAGTGGCAGCAGAGTGTGGCGATGGAGACAGCAGCAATGGGAGGCCGTACAGGGGCCCATGACAGATTTACGGGACCTGGCAGCAGCATGAGGAGGAGGCGGGTACGGGGGCCCATGGCAGATTACGGGCCTGGCAGCAGCAATGGGAGGCCCGTAATCTGCCAGCACCCTATGACAAAATGGAACCCACCAGCAGTGTGAGAGGAGACCTGAAAGTGGCACATGGCAGAGTGTGGCGATGGAGACAGCAGCAATGGGAGGCCGTACAGGGACCCATGACACACTCTGGACCTGGCAGCAGCATGAGGAGGCGGTACAGGGGCCCATGACAGATTACGGGCCTGGCAGCAGCAGCATGAGGAGTCGGTACGGGGGCCCATGGCAGATTACGGGCCTGGCAGCAGCAATGGGAGGCCCGTAATCTGCCAGCACCCTATGACAAAATGGAACCCACCAGCAGTGTGAGGAGACCTGAAAGTGGCACATGGCAGAGTGTGGCGATGGAGACAGCAGCAATGGGAGGCCGTACAGGGACCCATGACACACTCTGGACCTGGCAGCAGCATGAGGAGGCGGTACAGGGGCCCATGACAGATTACGGGCCTGGCCTGGCAGCAGCATGAGGAGTCGGTACGGGGCCCATGGCAGATTACGGGCCTGGCAGCAGCAATGGGAGGCCGTACAGGGACCCATGACACACTCTGGACCTGGCAGCAGCATGAGGAGGCGGTACAGGGGCCCCATGACAGATTACGGGCCTGGCAGCAGCATGAGGAGTCGGTAATCGGCCAGGGCCCATGGCAGATTACGGGCCTGGCAGCAGCAATGGGAGGCCGTACAGGGACCCATGACACACTCTGGACCTGGCAGCAGCATGAGGAGGCGGTACAGGGGCCCATGACAGATTACGGGCCTGGCAGCAGCATGAGGAGTCGGTACGGGGGCCCATGGCAGATTACGGGCCTGGCAGCAGCAATGGGAGGCCCATAATCTGCCAGCACCCTATGACAAAATGGAACCCACCAGCAGTGTGAGGAGACCTGAAAGTGGCACATGGCAGAGTGTGGCGATGGAGACAGCAGCAATGGGAGGCCGTACAGGGACCCATGACACACTCTGGACCTGGCAGCAGCATGAGGAGGCGGTACAGGGGCCCATGACAGATTACGGGCCCATGCATGAGGAGTCAGATTACGGGCCTGGCAGCAGCAGCAGCAATGGGAGGCCCGTAATCTGCCAGCACCCTATGACAAAATGGAACCCACCAGCAGATGTGAGGAGACCTGAAAGTGGCACATGGCAGAGTGTGGCGATGGAGACAGCAGCAATGGGAGGCCGTACAGGGACCCATGACACACTCTGGACCTGGCAGCAGCATGAGGAGGCGGTACAGGGGCCCATGACAGATTACGGGCCTGGCAGCAGCAATGAGGAGTCGGTACGGGGGCCCATGGCAGATTACGGGCCTGGCAGCAGCAATGGGAGGCCCGTAATCTGCCAGCACCCTATGACAAAATGGAACCCACCAGCAGTGTGAGGAGACCTGAAAGAAAGTGGCACATGGCAGAGTGTGGCGATGGAGACAGCAGCAATGGGAGGCCGTACAGGGACCCATGACACACTCTGGACCTGGCAGCAGCATGAGGAGGCGGTACAGGGGCCCATGACAGATTACGGGCCTGGCAGCAGCATGAGGATCGGTACGGGGGCCCATGGCAGATTACGGGCCTGGCAGCAGCAATGGGAGGCCCGTAATCTGCCAGCACCCTATGACAAAATGGAACCCACCAGCAGTGTGAGGAGACCTGAAAGTGGCACATGGCAGAGTGTGGCGATGGAGACAGCAGCAATGGGAGGCCGTACAGGGACCCATGACACACTCTGGACCTGGCAGCAGCAAGAGGAGGCGGTACAGGGGCCCATGGCAGAGTGGCGAAGCGTAAGCAGCTTAAATTGAAGGCCATACAGAGGCCTATGTTAAAAATAATAACATGTTTGGGGCATGATTCATGGCGGATTTAGTCAGTT